GAAAGACGTGCTTATGATTATATACTATTGGCTTTGTTTTGGTTGTTGAAGCGACTTTAATTTCTTAACTTTTGCGTGCTTGCTTAGTATAACTAATGTATATGTGCTTTAACGAATTTGTTTTGGACTCTTAAGTGCATGATATCAGCGTCGTAGCAGTTTTGTTCAGTTGCCCATCTGTTTGTTTGTAAACAATTTTCAAAATGCAACGCCTCCTACGTATACAGTTTTGATCATATAAAAAGTTTCAATGAAACTTTGTACATCAGTAAAAATTTAAGAATAGATACATAATTCTGTTTATCGATTTCTGATTTTGACGAACAGTAATTCTGTTCTTTTTTCAAAACCTACAGCTCTGGTCAAATTTCAATAAGACGTGGTACCTTAGAAAATAATAAAAAGAAAATTTTTATACCCCAGCTCCGGAAGAGAGGGGGTATACTGTTTTACCCTTGTGTGTCTGTCTGTCTTTGTGTCCGTGTTTCCCTGTGTCTGTCCGTAACAAATTTTCCTCGCAGTTTTTTCAGCAATTACTCATCAAATTTTAGCACACTCTTTGTTTAGGCATGCCGTATGGTGGGATTCATTTTTGTACGAATCTGATGTCAACTTCCTGTTAATCCGTGCGTCTGTCCGTATCATACATAAATTTTGGTCGCAGTTTTCTCAGCAATCAGTTTTCTCGCAGATGCTTGAAAGTTTATCACACTCTTTGTTTAGGCATATCATATGGTGGGATACATTTTTGTGAGAATACGATGTCAACTTCCTGTTTATCAGTACGTCTGTCTGTACCATACATAGCAAATTTTGGTTGCAGTTTTCTCAGCAACTATTCATCGCAGATGCTTGAAATTTTAGCACACTCTTCGTTTAGGCATGCCATGTGATGGGATTCATTTTTGTACGAATCTGATGTCAACTTCCTGTTTATCCGTGCGTCTGTCGTACCATACATAACAAATTTTGGTCGCAGTTTTCTCAGCATCTACTTATCGCAGATGCTTGAGAGATTAGCACACTCTTTGATTAGGCATGTCATATGGTGGAATTTACTTTTGTACGAATCTGATGTCAACTTCCTGTTTATCCCTGTGTCTGTCCATAAATGAACTTGTGTATTTACATCAGAACGAGGGTATTATTAGTGAGCATTGGCTCACAGACTTCTTGTTAATTCTGTTTTCGAACGATGTTGCATTGACAAAAAATTTCAAATTTTTGTGAAATTCTTTCAGAACGGTTCATCTGCAACAGTTTGGCCTAAATTTAATAAAAGCTAGAACGCAAGTATGTACATGTACTAAACAAAGACACATGATTCTACTAATTGGCGTTATCATTTCTTTTAGTATGACACAAATAATTCTGACCGTTCTTAGGCGAGCTGTTCAAGCATTTTCGACTCGGTCGACTTTTATGTTTCATCGTTTAATATCAATAATCTAATTTGCAGAATAAAATGTCTGTATAGTAATTTTAAGTCCTTGTGCTTTTTCTAAAATTATATCTCCTGGGCTTTAGCTGGCCTCCCTCCCTTTAGAAGTTGGAAACTCTTGCAGAAAATTGGCTTAATCCAGAGACATAAATAAAATATCTCTGCTTAAATAGTCACACATGTTGATGTTGGAAATATATTTGAAACGAATATAAATATATCAGTATGTGTGAAGAAATAAATTGATGAATTTATTTTTTAGTAAGATTTACTAATAATAATTAGTCATTTACTCACTGTCAATTGAAAATTGTTAATTAGTAGAAGACATTACTTAAAAGTAATATAAAAAGACTTGTTTGTCACCCAAGACAGATCAAATGCTATTGTGAGGCATATATATATATATATATATATATATATATATATATATATATATATATATATATATATATATATATATATATATATGGTGCTCTGATATTTTTTCTAAACAACCCCTACTGTGGAATAGTTTTTGTGCTTTTTTCCCATAGTGAAATAGTCATTAAACTATTCACCGGCAGCATTCCATTTCCCTCATTTTTCATCTCAAATCTATCTGGTTTGTGGTATTGTGACATATCCGGTTTGTGACGTAACAAAAGTAAAGTCGGCCTCGGTATAATAAAACGCCCATTTACTGGCTATGAGGACAAAAGCAAGTTTATCGTTCCCCTCAACAGCAACTATTTCCCTCGGCTGCGCCTCGGGAAATACTAGTACAAAAAATGTAGTTGCTGTCTTGGGGGACAATAAACTTGCTATTGTCCTCATAGCCAGTATATAGGTGTATAATATATATATATATATATATATATATATATATATATATATATATATATATATATATATATATATATATATATATATATATCCAAAATTATAAATTAATAAATTTTGCAAATAAACTCCGAAACGGGTGCACCAGTGTTCTTACTTACTTACTTACTCCTCTAACATTACTTTAGATACAAGATGATGTCCGCAAACTATATTTAGATTTCACTCACATAGTAAGTATCGTACATTAAATTAAAAGTCTACTTTTATTTTCTATAAACAGCCATGATATGAATAGCAAAAACGTGAATACGGTGGCGCTTCCGGTTGGCGGATCTAAGTTACCGGCAATTTTTAAATGAAACTGACAACAAGCAATCGTTTATTTATTTCATAAAACGTCATCACTGAATTATTCAATCAAAACTTGATTTAAATGATATAAAAGAAGTAAGTTGTGATAATCGATTAAAAAGGGAAATGTGCAAATTATTTTCGTCATTCACCGATCTTAATATTGACGGAAGCTTCTAGAACGTCATATAGCATCGAGTCCGATGTTAAAAAAACGAGGCGCTTATAGCTGCATAACATAAATAGAGCTTTTGTGTGATTGGTCATTGAAATAATGGTAAATCATTGATAACACTATAAGTTGTGAATGTATTTATATATCGAAAGACTATTACATATATATACATGTATGTATAGTAGGTTTTCGTAAAAAAAAATATCTGTATAATGTATATATTCCTTACTGAGAGCATCGTGGCAACGGACCCGAAGTACAATTTGTACTTCGTAATAAACTTGCTTACATGTAAAGAGAAAATTAATGACTAAGGTATTGTTCAAAAACAATTAAAGATGTTAAATTTTGTGCCTTAATTAATACATTTCATTTTTTTTTTCTGAAAAAAAGTCTTTTATATCAAATACTCGGCCTATTCATAGGGCGTTAAAAGCTTATTTTACACAGGTACTTGAGTCTTGGTTTATAAATATGTATGTACATTATTGATATGTGAAAAAGTAAAATACATTATTTACATATCAGTAAGGTACAAACATATTTATAAACCAAGACCCAAGTACTTGTGCATTTTGACCCCCTCCTCCCCCCAAATCAATTTATCAGTAAAATGTGCATATTCACTGCTTTTATCCTTGACGGAAATGAAATAAGAGCATCTGAAGTACAATATCCATAACATAGTATAACAGGTTTCACAATAAACGTCCATTAATGAAATTGTTAATTTTCAAGTTTTTACAAAGGGGGGTGGGGTGGAGACGTACATCTACTTCATGCGGGATTTTGAACAAAGTATTCCTTCCTGCAATAAGCCTGTAGACTGTCAGTAGAAACTACAAAATATTTTCTGTCGGTAGTAGTAGCTTGCGCGGGATTTCATCTAGTATATATCTATATATATCTATATCTATATATATATATATATATATATATATATATATATATAAATATATATGACTGCCGTCATGAGAAAAGGGCCCTTATCTTTTGACGTCACAATAGAGAGGTTGAGATTTTAAACTTGTACGCGTACATGTACGTGTACGTGTGCACAAACTTTGACGTACACGTACACGTTTTTTGTAATTTGTCTGTTGAGATTTCAATGACGTGTAACATGAACGTGTAGACTGTAATCGGTGTCTCTGTTTCAACTATTTAGTAGTTTTGTGACATTAGTTTGACTTTAGTTAGTGATCAAAACATGGTTAAAATAAGTGTTCATGAAACTTAACAACCTAAATAATTAACAACAATAACAATTTCACAAATAAATTGACTAGTTTTCATTGAAAAAGCTACAAGTTTACACCTACGTGTAGATGCCTTTTTACAAGTTGTAGGAACGTGTAGAAAACTTATCAACACCAAAACTGACGACGTAATACGCAAGAAATTTAGGGAATTCCCCTAATAGACGTACCCGTACACGTACACGTATGAAATCTCAACCTCTCTAATGCCCAGAAAACGACGTCAAAGTTGCGGTATTGTAAACACGGAAGTAATTTTTGTCGACTGCGTTTTGTGAACAAAAAATACAATTGGATTTCCAGGTGTTACAAGAAAAACATTAAATCATCTGAAATTTGATGCGGACATTTTTAATAAATAATATAATTACACACCAGTACATGCATTTATTAATTATTCTGTTTAGGTATTTAATTGATATCACATAATTACGTAAAGTGCGACATTTAACTCATTGTTAATTACGACCATTTAAAGCGATTTGTATATATGATGCATGGCTTAAGTTTTCTGAGGAATTTGCAAATGTTTAAATTTGACTCATAAGTAGACTAAGTCTTAATATTAAATGGTATTCTGCATACACATATATTTTTTTCCAGAGAGAGGGAGAGCAATGCACGTAAATGTATAGTGACTTACACATCTTAATTTCAAAAAAAAAAATCTAATGTAAAATGTACTTAGCCATTTTAATTGATCCATAGTTAATAATATCGATATGCGCAGTTACATGTAGACCAGCTCAGGGTGAAGTGTCGATATCCAAATGTGTTTGAGGGAGAGGGGAGTAGGGCTGAACCGATATATCGATATCTCGATACGTACCGATTTTCACCTTAGGTTCGAATATCGGTACACAACCTTCGATACGCATGCCGAAATTAAATCGTTCTTTTTTACCGTATTTTTGATCGGGTTCGACTTCACAACAATTAGTAACTTGTAATGGCGTCTAAAAAGTCAAAATGCTGGAACTATTTCAACAAAGTAAGCAACAGAAAAGCTAAGTGCAATCTTTGTTCAGCAGAAGTAGCAACTTCAGGAGGGACTTCAAATATGTTATTCCATTTGAATAGACATCACAATATTTTATTGACCAGTACTACTACTCCCCGCGTGACTACTCGGGCTTCTGGGGATGTTGGTATGTAGATCTTCGTTAAGTCGTAACCAAAACATTAAAAAAAACATGCTAGCTTACGAAAATTAAAAAAAAACCTGTTCGATTTAATTAAATTTTATTATAAACATTTTTTTATATATAATTTTAGCCATACAACCTAAGTGTGAAACGAAAATACTCAACCCTTGTCCTACAAATCCGTGGACACTCTCAGCTTCACACAAATTGCCACTTGCAAGAGCTAACGAAATAACAACGGCTATTTTAAACTACATCATTCATGATCTGCGGCCCTTCGCTACCATTGAGAGCCCTGTTTTTAGGTAAGAATTTTTATAAATGTCATATAATTTGCAAGAAAATGTGTAAACAAAAAGCACTTAAATTTGATATTTATTATTTCCAACTTTAGTGACAATTTGTCAATTTCTTATTAAGGAAAATGCTCTCAACACTCGAGCCCCGTTATCGTCCCCCAAATCGTGCCAGAATGAGTGAGGAATTGATTCCTGCCTTGTATGAAAATGAAAAAAGCAAACTGTATTCTGAACTACAGAGCTCTGAAGCAGTGTCGCTTACCTGTGATGGCTGGACCTCCAGGGCAACAGAGTCCTTTCTCACAGTGACTTGTCATTACATAAATAAAAACTGGGATTTGTGTTCAAAAATCCTACAAACTGATCATTTTGAAGGGTCACATACTGGCCAGAAAGTTGGATTTGAACTCAAAACAATGATGATAAACTGGGGTATTTCTGACAAAGTTGAAGTGATTACAGTGGATAACGCAAGTAACATGACAGTTGCAGTTGAAGTATCAGGTGCTAATCTGAAACTTGGTTGTTTTGCACATACCCTGAACTTGGCATCTAACAAGGTTCTTGGTATTCCTTCTCTTGAAAAGATTCTCGGTAAAGTACGTTCAGTTGTTACCTACTTCCACAAAAGCAATATTGCCACAGAAATTTTGAAAGAAAAGCAGTTGGCCCTTCAGTTGCCAAAGCACAAGCTGATCATGGATTGCAAAACACGTTGGAATTCAACTTATCAACTGTTGCAGAGGTTTTTGGAGCAAAGACCTGCAATTCTAGCCGCTCTTCTGGATGAAAGGGTGAAAAAAGCAGACAAGAGTAGGGTTGTTAGTGGACTTGGTGATTCAGACATTCAGATTTGTGAGGAGTTTGTGTTGAATATGGAAGTAATGCTGACAGCTACACTTGTTTTATGTGAAGAGAAGTCTCCTACAGCTGGTCTTCTGCTTCCACTCCTGAACAAGCTAAAAGACCACTTTAAAGCAAAGGCAGATGATTCAGCATTTGTGAAGTCTTTAAAAAATGCTGTAGGTTCCAATTTGCTTACAAGATACACAGATCCAAACTTGAAAAATTTTCTTGAGGAAGCCAGTGCATTAGATCCACGCACAAAGAATAAAGCATGTATCAGTGAGAAAACATGGGACAGGATTGAGGATAAAATGACTGTTCTTGATGTTATGGAAGTTACAGTAAAATCTGAGATTGCTCATAATGATGACATCCCTCACACTTCTGCTGCAATTCCTGATTTGCCTGTGATGTTGGGTGAGGCCAAGAAGAATGCAGATGAGGACATGAAAGATGCAGCTGAGGAGGTGAGAATCTGAGAGACATCTTTCAGATTGATTTATTAAAAATACTATGTAAAGCTGAGTTTGAGAATTATAATAAAAAACATGAGTTGTTCTTTTTTTAATGTATATGCAATTCTTTTTTTAAATTTTATGTTTCTTCTTCAGATTGACAAGCCTCCACCTGCAAAAAAAACAGCCCTAGAATCTCTGTTTGATGAAGAAATCACTATTACAGGAGAGGAACCTCCACTCTCTGCAATGAAAGAAAACCCATTGCTGTGGTGGAAAGCTAATGAACTGTTTTTCCCTCGCCTGTCCAAGCTTGCAATTAGATATTGTTGTGTGCAGGCTACATCAGTAGCATCAGAAAGAGTCTCTAGTACAACTGGTGACATTGTGTCAGCTACTCGTGCATGCCTTAAAGCAGAAAATGTTAATGCACTGGTATTTCTAAAAAAGAACATCAAGTTTTAAATATATTGTAATTGATTATGAGAAGTGACTCAAGTGAGAACAGGATTTGTGGCTGTCTTATGATTTTGTTGATTGTTTTTCTTAGTTATTTTACCTTGTCTCAGGAAGAAACATCGTAAAAGTTGTTTTTTTTTTTTACATTTTGTTTATTGTTATCTTTTTTGTGTTTAAGTCTTCATTAAATAAAAATGAAGTTCAATATATCGTGTATCGTTAAATTTTATATCGTATCGTATCGATTTTTTGAGACCAATACACAGCCCTAGAGGGGAGGGGTGGGGTGCAGATCATTGAAAAGCAAAAAAAAAAAAATAAATAAATAAATAAATCAAATAAAATAAATAAAAAATAAATAAATAAAAAATTTCCTAATAAAACAGCAATCGGTAGAAGTTCAATCTAAAAAAGAGAACCTATAGTACTAGTATCTGGTACTATGGGAGATTCGAACCTCCTACTACAGCAACGAATGAGAGAGAGAGGGGGGGGGGGGCAAACGGCCCCGATATAGATATTTCTTTGCTAAGTTAACAGCAAGAGAATATGCTAAGGAGAAAAACGGAAGAGGGGGATGCCACGGAAATTTTGCAAAAAATAATGATTAAGAAAACATTTTGAAATGATCAAATAAATACATAAAAAGTAGTTTCTGATAAAAATGACTATTGTATCAATTTTCTTAGATTGTTCCGATTAAAGCTGACCTGAAATTGAATTGCAATACATTTGGAGATAGATACAGCTAATGTGGACTTTTTTCCAAAAGCATTATGATCAATGTTGAAGAAAATAACAATTACATCGACGGTGATTTTAGGATTAAAAATATTTATGAAACAGAAGAAACAGCAGATTAAACAACAGATTAAGTTGTTAAGAAATTACAAACTTCTGATAGATTCTGATTTGGCGACATCTTTTGAGAATAAATCACTTGATAGGGGAATAAGAACTAGCAACAAGTGGTTATGGGTGTCAAATTCGAATGTTAAGAAAGCTTTCAAAAATATCGACCACACCAGTCGTAAGACAACAAAGACAGTGAAGAAATCTATATTTTGAAAAAGCTGAAAAAAAATTCACACTGCTGATGTTTCGAGCGGAAAAACGGAGGTTCAGGCAAAACTCTGATAACCATAAAATAAGTTTAAAAAGCCATTTTTTTTTTTGGCAGACTGTTGCACAGGTACTTGACGTTTTTAACCTTTCTTTTCATAAATAAAAAATTATCCATACTATAATAGTGTGGAGAATTTTTTATTTATGAAAAGAAAGGTTAAAAACGTCAAGTGCCTGTGGACTGTTGTATTCATGTACATCTGTACGTAATAAATTAGTCATGTTTCGTGTTGAAATCTTGAACGTCGAGTCTCCGCTCTGATATCTCCATACCCCGGATATCTCGACAATATCTCGACAATTTTTGAAAGTTCCGTTGATGTAGGGATACTGAAGGAAAAATATTAAACAAGCACACACATCTTTCCGATTTTAAAGAAAAAAAATGTGTTTCTATTTCAGTCGTGTAATAACAGGCAAAAATAAGAGCTTTGCTCTTTAATTTCGAAATTCTGACAAATTATTATTTTTTGAAACAATAACTGGGAAAAAATGGTTTGTTTATTTTATCTTTAGCTTTCAAGACAAAAGCAGATACTAAGTCGATCGCCCATGAAGTTCGAGTTAGAGTGGTAGAGTTACAAACATTCAATGGGATATTGCTTAATCGAATCGTCTCATATACAAAAAAAGTATAAACTTGTGTGTTGGACATAATATTTAATTAATCATGTTTAATTTTATGTACATTTCATCGCATCGAAAAATGAAAAGATTAGGTGTCAGGTTAGCTGATGCCACAGAGGAAGATGAATAGATGACCTTAATTATGTTCAAATACATATATTCAAGCAGGTCTGTAGTAAGTTTTAAAAGTTCGGGTGGGGTGGGGGGTCGGGGAAGGGCAACTTCCTCCAAAGATCTGAAAAACAAAAACCAAAAATCAAACAAACCTATACTGACTAAAGAGTTGGGGGGGGGGGCAACTTCCCAAAATAATCTGACAAGCAGAAAAAAGGGAAAAACTTACTGGGATTTACCATTGCTCCACCTTACAACAACAAATATAGGGGGCGGGGGGACAACCACGTATAAGAGGAAAATATCCCCCCCCCCCTCCGCGTTTTACGGACCTGTTAAGTCTCGCATGATGTTCGGTTTCAATTTCAAATAGATTTCATTGAAATTGTAATGCAACTGTATTTCATTTCGCTCAGAAAAGTCCATTTAGTTTGTATGTATATCAGGGTTTTTTTTAAGATTAGCGACCCTTTTAAGAAACGATACTTGTGTTCAAGTGACACAGCAGTAGCGTCGAGGGCACAGGTGCCTCAAAATAAAAAAAAAAAAAGGACAGAAACATTTTTGACCGCTTTTGATTAAGTGTGATTTACTGAAAAAAGTTAGTAGTTGACAAAAACATTTAAATTTTCATGTACAGAAAAAACGTTCATAATACAATCTTTTGACATCGTTATGTGCCTCTTTGTTATGTTTCTACTCCATAACTAAGACAGGCGAAGAAATTGAATTGTATAAACAATGGAAACTTAATTATTTTTATTAAAGAATTAAGAAAAGCTAAATAAAAAATCCCCTTGGAAGTAGTGAACAGTTTTTTAAATATTAATTATGATTTTTTAATGAAACTTTAAAAAAGGGGAAAAAAAGTTTACACATCATGGCGTATCTGAATTTATTTCCCGTTAGAATTTGTTGATGATACAGAAAATACATGAGGTGTTATTATCCCTTCGTAACAAAGTTATAGGGGATAGAGTAAGGTGCGTGTATGTGGGTGAGTGAATGCGTGCTTATATCCGAAAATATTTTTTTTTATATCGGTATCGATGTGTTCTTTCGCGAGGGGATGTCCCGCTTTAATTGCACGAGGTGCCCTTCTGGGACATCTATATACATTTTTCCATTTTATAATATTCCAAGTGCTTTATATCGTTTATAAATTGAGCTAGAGTAGGAATTTTAAAAGGAATACCTTATGATGTGGAATTCAACAAGTATTAAATTTTCGCCTGAATAAAGACTGTTCCTATATCCTGTCTAGACCCCCACCCCACCCTTTACGAAAATACTTGACTTGCTCTAATATAGTATGAAAATAGTATGCGACTTCCCTCCTGAATAATTATATACTAGTTGCTTGGAAAAAAAATTTAAAGTTTATATGAGTCAAACAAAACGATTAAGGTTATTTAAAAAGTGTAGTTTTTAAAAGAATGTTTGGAAACTGAATTTGACGCATGCGACGTCATTACATTTTCAGTAAGTAACGTCAACGTTGTTTTGAAGCGGCCTTACTAAAATGCTCATAAAATACTGATAAAGTCAGATATTTTAAAAATTGATGTATATTTGCATTCAGAAAGAGTCAGGCTATCAAAATTTAACAAATAGTCAATTTGTGAAATTTTGACCTTAAGGGCTCTTTTCTCATGACGGCAGTCATATATATATATATATTTATATATACATATATATATATATATATGTGTGTGTGTGTGTGTGTGTGTGTGTGTGTGTGTGTGTGTGTGTAGATTTTTTTACGTTATGCCTTAATTGTTGTTATTATGAATGTTTCCATTTTCATCAGATAGCTATTTTCGGATTTATAAATAAATGAGATAGTTTACAAGAATTGCTCCCGTTTTTAAGTATAGAGTATAAAGGCGACTCTTGAAGTGTTTCTGGATAATTGCAGTAATATTAAAAAATATACAAAAGTTGGTGATCAAATTATTTTGAATATGCTACTGATGTAAAGAGAGAATGACATTTTTTCGACTCTTCACATTTATTGTTACAGGCGAATCATGGCTCCGAGCAGCATATTGGCACCATCACGTGAGATACATGTAGATTCAGGGTTTCAAGTAGAGAGTTTGCAGCCAAATTATCTTGTTGTAAGAAAGATTATCGTGTTGTAAGGTATGTGATGGATGACACTAGACCGTATGTACAGACCAAAACCAAAAGTGGAATATCTTAACAAGTGGAATATGTTGACAAAATCATATAAGCAATATTTTTATAAACGGAATCTGTTGCGCGGCAGGGTCGACGCGCCGTTTCAAATAGCCTGTGCGTAAAATATGCGTCATACGTAAAAACTGAAGAGCTACAGTCTCAGTTTAGAAACTTGACAAAAGTTCCATGCTTTTATTTTGGATTGCTATGTTAATTTGATATATGCAGGGAGATATTAATCCAGTAGTACCCCTGCCATGCACAATAGATTGTAGACCCCCCCCTCCCCCCGCCGGAAAAGGTTGCGATCTTGGTACATAACTTCAACGCCATTCCATTTGAAAAAATATTTACTACAATGAATGACAATGGAGAAATACATGTTAGTAATACATAGAAATAATAAATAAAACACTTGAATATCAAGTAAAAACAATGGCTTATTAAAAATTAATTAACTCTCTTGTTGTATACCTCAACAAAGAACAAAGAAATTTAAAAAAAAAAAAACACACACACACACACTTGATTATCAAGTATTAACAATGGCTAATTAAGGAGGGATTCTTCTCGTGTTTATCATATTTAAAAATTAATGAAATTTTCACAGATTGAAGAAGACAATATCACTAAGTGATGACATAAATTACATTATATTTGACCGTTTAATGAAAAGGTCAAGGTCATGTCAAGGTCATTATCTTTTCCGTGTCATTAAGAATAAAAAAAATATTGTTGCCAATTATGTAATGCTATTGCTTATTATTATTTTAAAAGATTTAATTTTTTTTTTTATATAAAAAGTTGATACAACAAAAGGTCTACCAAATGATAATATCAAATTGAGATAAACAGTTAAACTAAATAGATATTGAGTAACCCGAATTTCCTCTATTTTTCTTAATTTTTTAGAGGATATTAGTTGCTTTAATATGTTTCGTATATTTAAAATTTTAATATTTTTACATATGGTAAAGTAGTCATGTAAAGGTACAAAATGATACATAAACCAAATGTTTTGACCGTTTAATAAGAGAGAAAAACATTTCTTAATGAATTTTTACTCAAATCTGTTCTTAGAATCCTTAGCTTTTAAAGACTATAAGATTGACATTTGTCTACAAAATCATATTTAATTGATTTATTTTAAAACTTTAGTCCATTATTATTAATTTCAGCCACTACAACAATTTCCTTAAGCCTTTGATTGTTTAAAAATGCTTTTTAAATTCATTGTTCTGTAGTAATTTTGAGAAGCAGAAAAGGAGATATTTTCATACGCCGCCATTCCGCCAAAAATATAGTCCCTACTAGATTTTAAAGTCAGTTTACCATTACTATTTCAAACTGTACAATTATGAAAAAATTAAGAAAAATATGATCTTTAAAACCCTTATCATCTAAATATAAAAGACATGAAAGCAAATATACTTTGAGTATTTCATTAAGTCAGAAACCAGACAAGAATCCCTCCTTAAATATTAACTCTCCTGTCGTATACCTCAACAACATATAGTAAACATATAGTAAATACATGTACGTGCACATGTTCAACAAAGTCTAGTTTGTCTGAATATGTGCTGCCGTAGGCACACCCATGAAAAATCTAAATTTTGTTAGAGCCACATTTTTCATCCAATGGTACATCACTCGAGCTCTCTTTGGTAGTTGTAACAGAAGTGAACCGTCTCTTTATGCTTGATGTAAGAGATTGCTTTAAACCCAGGTCACAACGGAAGATGTTCTTAAGCTCATGTTGAAAATTTCTTGAAGTGACAACGTACAAGAAGAAATTGATGGCGTAATTAATTTGTTCGGTTATCTGTGTGACCTCGGTATAAATCTGAAACCCGCTGTTTTGAACTCCGAAGGCATTCTTACGCAGAATGAATGCGCTCAGATGAAGTGATCCGACGGGGGCAATAAGTACGATATAGGCAATCATCACCCCCAGCAACATCATGGTTGTCCTATTAGACTCAGCTTGTTGCTTTTGGTCTACTGTCTTGTGTTTTCCAGTCAGTCTGCGTCTTTTGCGTGTTAACTGCGAGAGTTTGAAAATTATCAGTGGTGTGAGTATACAGAGAATTATAATAGGGATGAAAGAGTACAAATTGACTCCTCCTAGAAGAAATCTACCGAATTGTTCCACTTCATCTGGATTACTTGCATTGTAAACGTCTGGGTGGCATATCCCGTTTTTAATCTTGGAAGCGTAGCTCCAAATAGATGTGTACGTACCTATGAAGACGTAAATGCTGATGATTCCAGCACGAACTACTTTTCGGGTGCAGATAAACTTGGCTTTTAAGGGGAACCAGACTGCTACGAAACGCTCTACACACATTGCGACCACCAACCAAGATGATGTCATCTTTGATGTTTTGAATATAACAAAAAATATTTTGCATCCTACATCGGACAGTGCCCTAAGATCTGTACCAATGAGCTGAATGATAAATCTTTTGTTGAACGGTTGCGTCAAAAGGAGAACGGAATCGGAAACTGAGAGTGCCATAAGAATCATGCTGGATGTGATATTTTTAAACTTGGGTCTTATCATTATGATGATGGACAAACAGTTACCTACAAGACCAAGGACGAGAAAGGTGGGAAGGAAAAAGTAGTTGGTGTAATGAAGTACTTCGAGGACGCGGTTAACGTCGCTCGAAAAAGTGCCCGATTCATCAGATGCATTAAATCCAGAAATGTTGTACGTGCTGTTTTTGTCCATATCTGCTTCTGAAAGAATAAGAAAGAGATTTACATCAAAAAGAGCTTTAAAATATCTACAATGCTAGCATCCATTGCGCTGAAATATTTGTTTTCGGAAAACAGTGAAAAGACTTACATAGGTTTTCTGTGCTTATAATCTCAGATATTCATTAACTGGACATTTAAATAGATTGAGGACATGTTATCGTTCCTACGTGTATGTTGATTGGATATGTCCCATTGGACTCGACATAAAAGACACAACAAAGTCTGAAGCCATTTTTACATTTGGATAACCGGTCACAGTAGCATACTGGTAGGAATTCGCTTCGTGATCGGAAAATCGGGTTCGATTCTTGTTCCCGCGCCGCGTCTAACCTAAGACATAAAGATAGGTAGTGACTGTTCCATCGCTAAGCACCCGGCACTAGAAGTGAAAGTCAGTTTTTTTTTTATAAGAGTAGAAAAACCGAGGTCCCGTTGGAACGATGGCCCCGAGTGCCGAGTTCAGGTCTAAATTTGAAGTCCTTCACCGGTATATGGTGACGTCTCCGTATGAGTGAAAAAATATCGAATGGGATGTAAAACAACATAAAATCAATCAGTCATATTTGGATGTTTAGATAGATATCAATTTTAATGTTATCACTTCAATTTTTCTATCGTCAGTTTCCCTTGTTTATGTAGCAAAGTACCATTATCATCTGCATGTAGGGTTTATGTCTCTCAATTGATTCGATACGCAAGAGCATGATTGTTCGTACGGAAAAAAGAGATAAGCTTCTGATAAATGAGTTGATGATAAAACAATATCAACAATTTCTTTTTACCTCAATAGTTTGCATTTCTGTGGCCGATAAAATGACATTCAAAGACACTTTAAACGACAATGCTTCACAAAAAATTAAAAATGATGCTTTTTTGATATCATATAGACTACTGCTTCTTCAATAAGCATTCTGAGAGTATTGCAATAGCAATACTAGTCCCCTACCGGCAAGTGTAATCTGGTTCCCGTTAAAAATTGAAAATGCCATAATTCCGTCAAAAATCAATGAAGCGGAACGAAATTCAAACTTGATCTATAACTCATCAAGGTAAAGTCACATACCAAAATCAGCTCAATATCTGCAAGTGTTTAGGGGAAAAAGTGCGGAGAACCCTGAAAAATTGAAAAGGTCGTAATTCCGTGAAAAATCATTGAAGCGGATCGAAATGCAAACTTGATCTGTAACTCATCAAAATACACTCACATACCAAAAATCAGCTCAATATCTGCAAGCGTTTAGAAAAAAAGTGCGGAAAAGTAAGTTGGACAGACTGACAGACAGACAGAGGGACAGACAGACGGACGGACAGACTCAGAGAAAACCTATAGTCCCCTCCGGTTTCACCGGTAGGGAACTAATAAAGATGTCGTGATCGGGAGGCCCCCGTTCGATTCACGATCGCCACTCTGATTCTACACATACATGTAAGTACTCTGAGGTAAATATTGAAAGGATGGTGTGTTCCCTGATTGACTAGGTTCACGTAGTCTTTGGAGATCAGGTCTTCCAACTATCTCTTGAATTTAAAAGGGCACTAATTGTGCTCCTTTATTAGCTGACATGTTTTGATATTCTTCTGAAGCAGAATTTATTCAAGAAATTCTATATGAGAAGAAAACAATTAATGTGGCCTTCAACTCGACATTCAGATATATCAGAGTCTGCTACGTGTTTCATTGACTAGATGATAAGGGTTAATAAATAGTTAACTAAACTGTATTAAAGCAAGGTGACTTCAGCTTTACCATCGTCAACTTTATTTATGTAGTTGTATTCCACTGCATATGCTGTTTACGTGTCCCAACTAATCCGATACTCAATAACATTCTCTGAGTACTATTAATTATTAAACCGAGGTAGGCTATTGACAAGTACGACGATGTTTCAGTGATATCAACAATCTTAGCTTGTTTAAAGTCAGTATTTCGTAAATAGACTAAACACTATGTTCTTTTATTATTATGACTTTGTTAGCAAATGCAAACTATCATTGGATCGTATTTTGACTGACATATTTCATAACAGTTGTTAGCCATTTGTTTTTATATCAAATTCGACTAAGAATTATACCGTCCACTAGATCAATATATTGATCTCACGGCTGGTGTGACCGGTCGACAAGGGATGCTTACTCCTAGGCATCTGATCCCAGCTCTGGAATATCCGGGGTCCGTATTTTATGCCCTGTTCACAGATTTGTATTGTTATTTGGGTTTTGGAGATCGATCACTATTCGTTATCTTCACCTGATTTATTGCATAAACAATCGATCGTTAGATCGAATGTTGACTGACATACACAATGTTAGGCCTTTACTGTCACACCGAATTGTCAACGGATTTTCCCGTTTACCTGATCATGACAAAGGGCACACGGCAGATGTGGCCGGTCGATACAGGGATGCTCACTTATCCATGACACCTGATCCCACCTCTGATTTTAAAGGTCAGTGTTTGCTCTGCTTACAATTTGTATTAATTGAACTTTTGAGAATGATTGCTGTTCGTGAACTTTACATTTCGTTCCGCTTACAAAAAGCGATTTTATTTACATGTAGTGTAAATTTAACGTTCTTGTGCCTTGATGAACATACTAATTCTGAAAATTTCTGTAACGAGAAATGTCTATTTTATTTTTTAACATACTTTTTAACACGAAAGGTAAATAGCTGTACAAGGTTTCGGTATCATATCTCAACAAAATGAATGCAATAAGCGTACATAAGTCATGATCTTATTCACAAAATATGTCCTTTTCATAAGAAATGATTTCCTGTTTCTGTTTGAACAGTGTATTATATGGACCACCACTGTAGTCTTCGAATAAAAAACACTTGCAGGCACAAAACAATCATTTTTCATATACGTGTTTTTTTTTTCTTGAGTATCGATTGATGTACAAATGAAATACAGAGTCAAATTTGTCTATTATCTTTGTGATCTACAGATGATATCTTTTTACTGAATAATTGCCCATTTTTAAAAAAAAAAAAAAAACAAGACGTGTTTGTGAAACACTGATGCCCCCGTATGGCAACTTATAGCAAAGGGATAAACTTTCTCAAATGCAAATCAAATATGTTGGTCCCTAAAGTAAGGTCTTGTCTCGAGGAATAAACCTGTGAAATATGAAGGCCCTAGCAGCAACCATTAAATAGATATGAAAAAGGTTAAAAGTTTTTTTCAAAAGTCAAATGATCAAAATTAATGGTACTCAAGGAAAGGCCTTCTTCCAAGAAATACACAGGTGAAATATGAAAACCGAAGCACCAATCGTTCAAAAGTTATGACCAAGGTTAAAGTTTTCCAGAAGTAGGTCAAACTCCAGGGTCGTCGCCCGCGTGCCGAAGTGGTTAGAGCGTCTGCTCTAGAGTCGCCGAGTAAGGAGTTGATCCTTACGTCGCGGGTTCGAATCCCACTGTGGGACGTGGAGACCGGTCCATCGAATGAGACCGTATAAACCGAGGTCCCGTGTCGCAGTAGGTGCTGGCACGAAAAAGATCCCTCATTGCTCAATGGCCGTAAGTGCCGAGTATAGGACAAAATTTGCAGCTCTCCACCGGCAAGTGGTGGCGTCTACATATGAGTGAAAAATTCTCGAGAGGGACGTTAAACAACATACAAACTCCAGGTTCAAGGTCAAAGGGTCAAAGCTGTTGGTATTCAAAGGAAGGTCTTTTCAAAAGGATTATACATGTGAAATATGAAAGACCTAGCATCAAATGTTCAAAAGTTATGGCCAAGGTTAAAGTTTTCTAGAAGTAGGTCAAACTCCAAGGTCAAAGGGTCAAAGTTGTTGGTATCCAAAGAAAAGACTTGTCACAAGGATTACATATGTGAAGTATGAAAGCCCTAGCACCAACAGGTCAAAAGTTATGGCCAAGGTTAAAGTTTTTCAAAAGTAGGTCGAATTCCAAGGTCAAAGGGTCAAAGTTGTTGGTATCTAAAGACAGGTCTTGTCACAAGGATTACACATGTGAAGTATGAAAGCCCTAGTACCAACCGTTTAAAAGTTATGGCCAAGGTTAAAGGTTTTCAAAAGTAGGTCGAACTCCAGAGTCAAGGTCAAAGTTGTTGGTTTCCAAAGAAAGGACTTGTCACAAGAATTACACGGATTAAGTATGAAAGCCCTAGCACCAATTTTTAAAAAGTTATGCCCAAGGTTAAGGTTTGATAATATTTTGCAAAACTGGGTCAAAAGGTCAAATATGGTGGTACTCAAAGGAAGGTCTTGTCACAAGGAATACACATGTGAACAATGAAAGCTTTAGCTCCAACCAATCAAAAGTTATGGGCAAGGTTAAAGTTTAAAGTTTTTGCGGACAAACAGACAGACAGACAGACGGACGGACAGGGCAAAAACTATATACCCCCGAATCTTCGATACAGGGACATAAAAATACAAATTAATTGTGTTACAATTATGACTTACAATTGTGTTCTTAATTTGCTTTTTTGTATTGAATAAAAAGATCCAAGTAGTATAATAAAAAGATTAACAAGAATTAATAAAAGCCCTTTTAATTTAAGTTAAACTAGCTCTAATTGTACGGAGACCGTTACCGATGTCCCCCCCCCACTCTCTTTAGGGCCCTATTCCCTTTAACCTTCATTTATTTAAGCAAATTGTAGACTATTACAACTTATTTTCAGAGAATTTGGGGGGAAAACAACGCTCGAATAGCAGAATGAGCATACGCAAATCAGATTTATGTGCATGCATATGATTTTGAAAATTAACCTATTACATGTTCTCATAAAGAGCTTCAGTTTAGATTTTAAAGAATTTCAATGAAAACGTAGAAAGTTACAGCAACATGAATATTAACCAATCAGAATCAGCACGCATACATACATGCATGTCCTGGAGATTCATTTCTGGAGACTGATTAATATAGGAACTTTTATTATTTACATATACTCCGAATTTCATCTTCTTTCTTTAACAACTAAGAAAATTATAAATACTA